GAGGCTCTGGCCGCGGCCCTGGCAGAGCCCCTGTGGGCAGCGGGAGCGGGGGGCAGAGCCGCCGTCTGCCTCGGCACCCCGGCCCTCCACGTCGTCCCGCGGGGAGACTACACGGCTGACGGCTTCACGGAAAGGGTGGGTAGGAAAACACCTGCTCAAAGGGGATTTTCTCTAAAGACACCTTTGGCCTGAAATGTTTAACGGCAGGAACAGTAAGATCTCCCAATCCTGTTCTCTAGCTCCCGGTGCACCACAGGCTGGAAGCACCTTAGAGCTGCAGCCTGAGGGACGCTTCTGCCTCCTGGCAGGGGCTTTAGGGGAGCCCAGAGGCTGCTCTTCCCCTTCGTTAAAGTCTTTCTTCTCCCGCAAAAAGGATAAACTGGTTGACATAAAGCTCCTCCTCCAACTCCATGTAAAGCTGTTCCTCTAATTCCTCATGTAGAGCCGAACTCCTGGGCTTAGGAAAGGGCAGAGCAGACTCTTGCCGTATTATTTTGTTCATCTAAAGGAATCACAGGGTTAAAAAGCTCGGGCTTTTTTACGTAATTAATGTCTCCTTTACCACATCTTCCCCTACACTCATGCCTGACAGATCCAGCTGTTTGAATTCTCTGAGAAAGCAGCAGCTCAGGAGTTCATCTTTGACCATATAAATTGTGTAAGTAAGGCATATTTGCTTTATTCTTAGTTATTTTGTTGCTTGCTTGCATCTTATTTCCCATGCACCAGTGGACCTCCTGGAGGTCGATAGCAGCTCCCCCAGCAGGACGTTCAGGCTGGTGAGGTCAGTTAGCTCATGGGTCATTTCCAGCCTTTCCCACGGGGTGTGATTCTGCTCCCACTAAAATCCCCAGGGCTTCACCCACCAACGGCAGCACTCTCAGCCCACAAATGCTGGGTAAACAGGAGCAGCTTTTTGTATAATGCTCACATATAAAATACAGGTCCTTGTAACTTTAGCAAAAATCTGGGGGAAAAAAATTGTGTATCTAAGTAGTTAGTCAATAACTCGAAGTTTATCTTTTTTTTTTTTTTTTTACCTGATCCTATTCAACAGAATTAGTTACAAAATCTTCCTGGAATAACCCCTTATCTGTTTGGCTGACCATACTCACCTTAGGTTGTATTTAAGCAGAGGAATTATTTTAATTAAACATCATATACCTGTCTTAATTCATCTCCAGTGATTACTTCTTTTTCCAGTTCAAAGGTGAAGGAAGTCATGGAATGATCCTATTTTTATACAGTTTACTTTTCTCCAGGACACTGGAAAGGTATCTTTCATTTTTTGAACACTCTCTTCTAGTTCAGTTGCATTTTTTGAACTGTTTTTTTCCCTGTTTGGCTTAAATGTCCCTTCGGAGCCACATGTGGCGCAGCAGGTGCCGGCACAGACCTTGCTGTGTTCTGCAGAGAAGGGTGTTGCTCCCCCTCAGCATCTGCCTGCACACCCCGGAGCAGGCAGGAGGGGCAGCAGAGCAGAGAGAAACCCTCTGCATGCACAAAAAAATACTGTGCTGTGTAGAGCCAGGAGTTATCCCACCGGCAGCAATAGAACAGTTACAGGCAATGAAGCAGGAAAATCACAAGCAGCCTATTTAAACACAGAAGGATTCTGCCAGGGTGACCCTGCTGGCAGAGGTGACTGACAGGGTCTTTCCAAAGCTGATGTGATTAGGTTTAGGTACAGATGCTTTAGAAAGGTACAGAGACATCTTGATACCAACATGAAACACATTTCATACTAACATGACACTACGTTAGCTATTTAGCAAGAAATTGCACTGCTACTTCAGCCAGTTGTGTTCAGGCCTTTTGGCAGGGGTTGCTCCAAGGGAAACCCCAGACCCATCTGCAGGGCAACCTGACCCTAAACTGGGAATTTAATAGGAGCAGAGCTGAAGGGCAACAGCTTCAGCTGAGCAGCAAATCGCTGTGTCAGGACAAAACTGCCATGTCAGGACAGCACAGAGAAATAAAAGTCCATGGGATCTCTCCCTGTTAATCAGACTGATTTAGGGACATCAGTGCAGGCACTGATCCCTGTGCTACCTTAACACTGTGCTTGGTCCTACAGGGTCCAAGAAGATTTAGGCTGCACAGCAACTCCTCTGTTGGATTTCAATTCTGGGAACATCACCTGTACAGAGGTAAGAGTAGCCTCACTTCTCAAGTGTTCTTTTTTTCTTACTCCCACATTTTATTTAGGAAAAAAAAAAATTCTCCTCTGTGAATCTGATTTTTAAAAAACAAAGCCATGGGAAAATACTTTGCCAACTGGAATCATGACTGTCCATTTGAAAACCAGATGATGATAACGACGATCCCAGCAGCCTGGTGCTCTGCTCAGAGCAGGCACGACAGCAGCTGCC